CCAGAGCTTACACCTCTTCTAGTACAAAGGGTGCAAAGGAGGGATCACCGCAACTGCGTACTGACCTTCTCTCATAATAAAAGGTATCAATAAGGCCAAGACACAAAAAAGCCAGTTGGCACCAGAGCTCCCTCCCCCACCAGGCAAACCCCTTGAGAGATGGAGAAGCTCCAGTGTAAAAGATGGTTTTTCACAGCAACATGTCAACTCCGGACAGAGGAAATATAATAACTTACAATGTTGCTGAGGGATCAACTTTTAAGATCTGAGGGCAATGTGTTTCCTGGTTCAGTGGGAGGAGCTCCATCTCTCAAGGGCTGCCCTGGAAGATGACTGGGGAAAGGATTTTGCTTGCTTTATAAACTTAGCATTGCATGTTGTTATTAAAGTGGAAGTCCGTGCTAATCTAATACCTGCGCCCATTCTAGGTCCTATACTAACTAGCCTGTAGAGGAAAGATGCGTATACTTACCTATTTTGACGGTGGTCTGGTCATGTGATTGGCTCCCAGTGTCATCTTCAGGAGTGAGGCAGGAGTAACGATAATGGTTGCAATTCCTGAGCAGGGACATCACCCATAGGATTGGGGTATCCATTGTTAGCTGTCCATCCTCCTGAAGACAGCTGGGACCTGATTATGTGACCGGACCTGAGGTAAGTATAGACATCTTTCCTCTACAGGCTAGTTAGTACAGACCTTAGAATGGGGTGGGTGTAGGTTTAGAATTAGATTTAGATTTAGGTTTAAACTGAACTTCCACTTTAAATCTATCATTTAACGGAATACCCCCAGTTACATACCTCCTAGAATGTATGATGCATGCATTTTTTAAGCTACCAAATGCATAACGTTACATGTCAATGTTAAATTTAATTTTAAAACCAAGTTGCCCAATTACACTGTGCAGTCAGATCTGCCTGTAAGTTGGAGTCATTAGATCTTTGAGGACACGAGGGTGTAAGCCATGTGGTTCGGCTGTTTTGTTTATTTTTTTTGCTGGACCATATCAATTTTGAGCCATTGTGGTTCATTTGAGGTTATGGCAATAAAATTCCTCATTATGGACTCTACCATTTTCTTTCACAAAATTCTTATTGCAATTTTACCAAGGCCCCCCACTTCCCACTGCTTTCCTGGGCTCTCCCTTCCCACCTGGGGAGGCGGCGGTTCTGCTGGCCTACCATAGAGATGACCAAGGACTGGAATGACCCTGATCATCACTATGGTCTAAGAAACCAGAAGCAACAAGTATTTTGTCATTTCTAGTTTTAGGCTAAAGTAATTAGGCCGTTACTGGCCTGTGAAAGCATCGGATCAAACCAATCTTTTAAGTTCAGAGGAGAGACCCCAAATCTCTTAGTAAAGAGAACCTGTCACTGCCCATGTTATCACAAGGGATGTAGCAATAAAGTTGCCAAAACAAAAAATTTAAAGAGACAGTGTAAAATTTTTTAGATAAATTAAAGAAAAATTCAAGTGGCTATGTCCTCTGGTGCTTGAGCACAAAGGTGAACACATATGTTTGCAAATACAAACTTAAAAAACTGAGTTTGAAAAACTGCTGAGCAAATACTGTGCGACGAAAAATTTGCAGCACCCACCATTTTATTCTCTAGGGCCTCTAATATTTGGGGGTTCTGTGTAATTTTCTAGCAAATAATGAAGATTTTTATATGTAACCACTTACAGTATTGAAGTGGTTAAGTATTATAGTAAGCTTCTCATGCACCATAATGTCCCTAGAATGTAATAACTGGCTGTTTCCATGCTAGGCAGCTTTTGTCTGGTAACCAGACAGCTCCACCATTTGCCTTTATATACACACAGAACTGAAGAAAATATTTGAAAAGAATCTGCCTTCTCTTTGTCCCTAGTCACAAACTCAAAGATATTTTGTAAGCAGCCTACACACTTAAATGTGATCTTTTTACTATTGAGAGTATGTCCAAAGCTTTTTTGGATGCACTCCTCTTTAGGGTCACAGGAATATATTTACTGTTGTCCTTCTGTGACCCAGAGTCAGTTGAGCCTACTGCCTGCTATCAGTTGACGGGCACAATCAAGCCAGGCTCAGGAAGTATCCTGCCTATATTGCTGGGATCCACTCAGCTGCCTGATTGACAGCTGGCTCCACATTTCAGTATGTTGCCATACACCTCTTCCCCAGACCGGTGCTACAGTGAACACTGGAGGAGCCAAGTGGAGAACAGTGACTGAGGGGCACTGTTCTCCGCTCCAAGCTGAATGAGTGATCAGCAATCTTGTGATCACTCAGTTCTTTGTCTTAAAGTCGGCATGTGAAAGCTGAAGTGCCACAGCATGGAGGTGAGTATGCATGTTTATTTTTTGTATAGCCCAAGATTCACTTTTAATATATTTAAATATATTTGGGGAGTTTCTTTGGGGCTGGTCTTCTCTGTCTCAACTTTTGTTTCTTTTGGAATTTTTGCTATCTTGATTTCCTTTTTAAATATTTTGTTATATTATTAACATTCTACACATACAAGTGTCAAAAGCATTCCTTCTTTTTTGTATTTTTTAAAATACACTTTTCTTATTCTTCATGACTTTTTATCATTGGATGTCAGCCACATAAATCTTTAAGCCTTTTAAACATACTGCCCAGAGGAAAATATTTAGCAGCATGTTTTTCCATAGTTGATTTGATACATTCCCATTTTTGGTCTGTATTATTTGAGAACGATATCCCTTCCAAGTCTGTCTTGGGGAGCAGTCTTCAGCATTGGAAAAGTTACTCTTGTAAAATTGAGTGTTTGTAATGTTGTGGTATGTGCTTATTCTTTACAATTTAAATTAAATCATGTTATGGTCACTGATAACCAGGTGTTCTTTTATATAGACATTTGTAATAAGTGCTGCATTGTTTGAGATTACAAGGTCAGACAGAGCATCATGTTTGGCTGGGGCTTCTATAAACTGTACCACAAAATTGTTTTGTAATAAGTTTATAAATGTTTACAACTCCCAAGATTACCACTTTCCCAGCCCTTGCAGACATTTTTATCTGTGTAAGGAACTGAGTCTCCTTATTAATACTGTGGGCCTGTAACACATTCCAGTAATTAACTTTGCAGACTGCACATCCATAAGCATCCCCATTCATGCCTCAGCACCATCACACTCTCCATCAACAAGGTTCCCTTTCGCATGCATTTTTACATAGATACCGCCACCTTTTTGTTTTCAGTCTCTCTGAGAGCATAGCCAGGAATATTCACAGTCCAAGCATGTGAGATTGAAGCTAAGATTAAGCAGTACCAATGAAATCATAGTACTCTTCATGCACCAAATCTTCCAACTTTCCAATTTGCTTGGCAGATTTCTGGCATTGTTGAACACTTGAATCCACTGTTGCATTTTCCACCCTCAATTAGCGTCTGACTTATCTTGCCCCTCAATCCAAGTTTAAATCATCCTCAAATCATTCTCCAGCCTTCACATAAACCTCTCCTCTGATACAGCAGATCCCCTTCCATTTAAGGGCAAACAATATTTAGCATATAGGTTGTACCCCAATGAAAAGTCAGCATAATGCTCTAAATACATAAAACCTTCCATCTTAAACCAGGTAGCTATGTGTTTTCTAAGCTCCCACTGTCTTTTGCATGTTGCACATGGAACTGGAATTATTCCTGGGAATAGAACCAACTTGCAGCCTAGTTCTTTAAGAGGTTTCCTCCATTTTCCTTGTATTCTGTCTTTGGTCCCAACATGAACCAAGACAGCTGGGTCATGCCCAGTAATTTTCCTCTGCCTATCCCCTTTATCTCGAGTACATTTCAACTGAATTACCAAACAAAAATGTCCTGTTGGCCAATTCTACACTGCTTGATCATCTGCTGTCCATTAATTAACATTAATGTACATTTCAATCTAGTGTTGTTCAATAAAACTGTCCTGCTGCTGGCCAAATTTAAACTGATTTATCATCTGGGAAAAACCCCTCCTTGTGTCTTTAAATTTTAGTCTATTTCCCTCATTAAAACTGCCCTGTTGCTTTCCAATTTTTACAACGCTGTATCATCTGCACTCACCTACGTCTCAAAGAGAGTTTGATAGAAAATGTTCAGATGCAGGACAGGTTTGCATCAGATAAAAACGGAAAGCCTTAGCAAACAAGCCCAATAAAAAAACTTGAAAAAAGGTTTTTTAAAAAGTGAAATGAATTCGATTGGGGAGCTGCTGTTAAATGCAAACTAAACCAATTTTAAAAGAAAAAGATGTCTTTTACAATACAAATAACCACTGCTAGAGTAGGCTGTCTGTGAATATTGTATGGTTTTGTAACAGCATACAGGTTTTAAGTGGTTGTAAACCCCTGACATGAAATTTGGAGAAAGCATATATAGTGTATACTTGTCTCTATCCACAGCACTAAGTGTAATTTCTATCTGCTGCCTCGTTCTTCTGCTATCTGCATGAGTCACTCCTGACAAGTTTTCCTGACACCAAGAGGAAAAAAAGGTGACAGGACAGGGAGGTCTAGCACACAGCATGTGATTGACAGTCTCAGCTCTGTTCCTGTAACCTGTCCATTCCCTCCAATTAGCGCTCACTGAGCTCTGCAGAGTACAACTTCAACTCCCTGCCCCCTGCTTTTCAGAGCTGAGGGATTATGTGTGAATTTTGAACTTTGAATGGTTGTACAGAACAGATGCCTGCAGATAAACAGGTTCACCTTATGTAGAAGGAGTTGTTTCATATCTGTGTATCATCGGAGGCTATTCGCTTCACTGAGTATATGTAAAGATTTACAACCGCTTTAGCCACTTCCCATCTGCCCTATAACTGAAGTACTGCTACATGGCAGACCATGTGTGCAAAATCACGTATATATATATATATATATATATATATATATATATATATATATATATATATATATGTATATATATATATATGTGTGTGTGATTTTGCATTTTCGGGTAGGGGAATTCGCCATTCATGGCCTCGACTGTCAATCACCGGGACCGGCTGGTGATTACCCGGGGGTACCCGGTGATTGTCGAGCATCTATGTTTGTTTACAAACAGTTCTCTCCCCACAGCTCCTCCACACTGCTTTGCATGGCTGTACATTGCACAACCATGCAAAGCAGTGTGCTTACAGTGAAGCACAAACACAGCCACACAATTACAAAGGGAAGCATCAGCGTGTGCAAGGTACCATAATTCTCCTTATCAAGTACCAGGAGAGCACACAGTTAACAGTTTGATTGCCCCAGATGTTAACATACGTGTTATTGATGTAATATATACACATGATTTTGCATTTCCGTGTGGTGGAATTTGCCATTCGTGGCTTCGACTGTCAATCACTGGGTCCAGGCTGGTGATTGCCGAGTATCTCTGACAGGGTGGAGAACTGTTGTAAACAAAACAGTTCTCTCCCCTGTCAATGGCTGTGCAAAGCAGTGTGCTTACAGTGAAGAACAAACACAGCCACACAGTTACAAACGACACACAGCACACAGTTAACCCTTTGATTGCCCCAGATGTTAACCCCTTCCTGCCTAGTGCCATTAATACAATGCCAGTTCTTTTTTTAGCACTGATCACTGTATTGGTGTCACTGGGGATGTCAGTGACACCAAGTCAGTTCCCCCCAGTGTCAGAATGCCCACAGCAGTCCCGCTATAAATCGCTTTTCGCCGCCATTACTGGCAAAAATAATACATTCAGTATATATACCGCCCTTTGTAAACGATTGAGATTTTTTTTTTTAGCAAAGACATGTAACAGAATACATTTTGGCCTAAATTTATGACGAAATTGTTTTTTTTTTAAACTTTTTTTTTACCGGACATGTTTAATAGCAAAAAGTCAAAAATATTTGTTTTCTCAAAATTGTCGATCTTTTTTTTATAGCACCAAAAATAAAAACCGCACAGGCGATCAAGTACCACAGAAAGAAAGCTCTATTTGTGGGAAAAAAAGGACGTACATTTTATTTGGGTGCAGCGGTGCATGACCACGCAATTGTCAGTTAAAGTAATGCAGCGCCATAATGCAAAAAATGGCCTGGTCAGGAAGGGGGGGGGGGGTAAATCCTGTGGAGGGCAAGTGGTTAAGGCATTCCATTTAAAGGACTTGTGTTCTTTCCCTCAGAGCTGCATGAAAAGGACTCTCTCTGTGCTGCATGGTATTTTTGGCAATGGTACATGTAAATTATAGTAGTGCCCAGCGTCCCTTGCTTTTTTTGACATTTGCTTGCCTATTAGCTCTAAAAATGGCTGGAAATTACAGGTTTCAACCCAATCCTCCTTCATAGGCTTCAATTGGATCTGCTACATAAGCAGTGGCTGTAAAGAGCATTCAGTAATGAACATTTAGTGACCTCCTCTTCTGCTGTGGACCAACTACGGCAGTAAAATTGAATCAGCAACAGTTTTGTTGACCCCCTGCATCTCATACCTCTATGTATCAGAGAGTGACATAAGGGACATAAGTGTAAGAGAACTGTAGTTTGTTTCACTGTCTTTACCTTAGTTGTAAGCAAAGAGTACAGATCTCCTAAATGTGAAGTGTCAGTGTGTGAAACAGACAGGTATGTCACACAAGGAGCCGTGTGAATAGGTTGGTCTACTCCTTTGACCCTAACAGAGATGTTTTTCTGCATGCCAATAAAATCCCCTTAGGCATGAGGAACAGCCATATTTTGCTTGTGACAGTTACTATACAGAAAAAAAAATAATAAAATGTCGATATAAGAAAAAGAGTTTAATAAACATGTCAATTTTACTGGCTGGTTTCTAAAATAGAACATGCTTAGTATCTAACCCTGAAGTGTCTCTTGAGCTGCAGAGAAATACTGACAGAAAGATAAAGATAACAGCTGCTCCTTTGCTCACACACACATATCCTGTTCTACACAGGAGCAGTGACCTATCCAACCACGGTTTTGTCAACTATATCTAGCACTGAGCACGTTAACGCCTGTAAATCAAGCAATCCATATGTTTGACTAGAAGCTAATGGGGTGCCAATCAGTAATACTGTGTAAAGCAACAAAAAAAAAAAAAAAAAAAAAGCAGTGCAGGATCACAAATCCTTTACATGATTCTACATATAAAAGCTTAGTAAAAAAAAAAGGGACAGAGCTTATGCATAGCAATGTGTTAGAAATAAACATTCTTTTTGCAGCCATGGGAAACTTGTTGAGTTTAGCAATAAAAGACACATCGAGAAAAGGCTAAATTGTGTCCACAGTATGAAAATTATTTGTATCCTAGCACAATCGGATTTAATAGGGTTCGTCTTTTTAATCATTTATCTTCAAATTTATGCAACCTTCTCATGAAGTTGAAAATATTTCAAAGAGAGATTCTATTGCATTGACTGAAAACAACAGGGTATATGTGAATGGATTTCTAGGACCTGTCTTGCATCTTCTGCCTGAGCATTCATCCTACTTGCTGTGCTGTCCTTTCTGTGCACTGTCTCCTTGGCTTTCTTCTATCTACTTCTTCAGGTCTTCAGGCTGTGCCTTGTAACCCCTTGCTCCTTTCCGTCTGCTTACACTTCTGTGTTGTTTATACCCTGCCTGTGGAGATTTAAGTGGGTCTTCCCATTAGCCTAGCATTGGAATATTGTCATACACTGTAGTCTGCCTTAAATTGGCAATCCCAGCCCTTTGCCTGGGATAACCTTGTCTTCATTTTGATTATCTTTGCACATCTGCCTTCTCCCTTCTGTTGTTTTTTAGCTTGTGTTTAGCCTGCTCTTTTACCCACTGTTTTTGTGGCCATTCTCATTTGTTATTAACCTGTTACCCCTTTTAACACCTGTGTTATAAATGTCTACATATTTCCTTGTTTGTGAGCTGTCACCAGCAGGCCAATCCCAAGTAGTTATCAAACCCATTCCCTACCATCAGGGACTCTTGTGATGACAAAGACCTACTAGTCTTTACAACTTGGTGAGTCTTTCATTACCTTCTTGAAACATACATTTACACTTTCTCATGTCTTTGTCTACTTGATTTTCTTGCACTCAAGTCTATTCTTTCATTGACCTGTCAACTTTCAACTCGGTTCTGGCAGGCTATCATCTCTAGCTCTCAGTATTTTTCTTTATTTTGCTACCTGTGCCTTCACTTAGTTTCCTTGGTTTCAACTAGAAAGATATACTAGAACTCTGACATTTAAAGGAGATGTATGGCCAAAGCATTTTTAGCCCTACTTCTCCTCTGGATCACAGGAAAGCTAGTTCTGTGACACGTTTTCAGCCGAAAGCGGGCTAAAACCCGTGGTCAGCTGATGTTGCAGAGCCATACTGGTGTTAACCGACCCTGAAACCTTCCTGTTTTCTTAGATGGACAAGGGTATCTTTGGTCAAGCATCATCACATGCCAGCATCTACTTCCTAGACTGAGATGTTGCTTTAGACATGACACAATCAGGCACATCTTGATGCCTGACAGATCAGCCCCTGCAGCAGTCTCTCAACTTGTGATTACCTACAAAGTTCCAATGTTACGATTTGATAATCAGGAGTACAGGGAATGCTTCTGCCAGCTAGCAGCAGATTGATCATATGATCTCAGCCTTAGGACATTTAAAAGGAGGTAATAATAATACATGCAGGGAGCCTTCTGGTAGCTGGATGTCAAGTAACACTTATAGGTCTTGTCCCAACCCAGACTAGACAATAGAAGGCCATGCAGAAGACTGAAAAGCTCTTCTTTCTGTCACTCCACTCTCTCCTCCTATTAGCCTGTTTCTTGTGAGGATGAAAGTGTTACAGCACAACTGTCTGGAGTCTTTTACTGCTCATCCCTTTCCCAGTCAGGGCTCTGTTTTACAGGGTCTACAAGACACTGATACCAATTTAAGTTCAAGTATTTTTTTATTTTAAATATACATTTAAAATACATTCAAATATTTAATAATGAATATGGATCTGCATTTATTTGCCTTATATCTGACTGAAGTCTAGCTCGAACCTTTAGTACTGTCTTTTTGTAACCAATGATTATCTAAACCAATGACAAACAGTTAGAGCTGTGACCAATTATTTTTTTCATCACAAATATACAGAAAAATAATTAAGCAGATTCATTAAAGAATTCTGGGAATGGCAAAATAGAAAAAACAAATCACCCATTAGTACACTACCCTACACAAAACAGTTAATAAAATTTTGAAAATCCTTACCATTGAGGAGAAAAGTCTAATTGAAATTTCATTATCTCATCTCTGTAATTCAAAAGAAAACAACATCTGCTCTGCCAAGGAGGAGGTGTAACAGCAGGGATTACATCATATCCTCTCATCTCTCTGCAGTAAAAGGAAACTACAGTTCCCATCAACCACAGGGAATTGCAGTGAATGTATGCGGGTACACGAGGCCTATACATATTGAATGTGTCTGAGGGTCTTGGTTTGCCCACCACTGCAAGTGGGGCTGAATTACATCACTGCTTTCTGTAGAAAGAACTACAGAAGGGATGTGTCAAGACCAGTGGCTGGGAAAATAGGAGGCATAGCAGCCATTAGTCGTACAAACAGGAAACCACTGGGAATTAACAGTTTGATTTGAAAATGAATAAGCTATTTCAGAGCAACTACTGAGTGAACCAGAAGATGGATGACATTCAGTGAAGGTAGGAAATTGGCAACAAGGACATATAAAGACGTTTTTACCTGGAGTTCTGCTTTAACCGCCTCCCGCCTGCCATATAGTAATATGACGGAGGCAAGGTGCAAGGTGGTTCTCTTGTTCTGGGAGGACGTCATAAGGCGGATCACCGATCCACGGAAAGAGCCGAAGATGTCGGCTCGGTCATGTGATCAGCTGTGTCCAATCACAGCTGATCACATGTAAACAGGGAAATGCAGGTTATCAGCATTTCTCTCCCCACGAGCTGTCACGCTGACAGCTCGTGAGGAGAGGAGAGCCTTGGAAGTGACATGTACACAGATCATCAGAGCACTGATGATCAGTGTGCCCTGATGATCTGTGTAGCCCCAGCAGTGCCACCTGTCAGTGTCCATCAGTGCCAGCTCTCAGTGCTCATGCATGCCACCTGCCAGTGCCAAATCAGTGCCACATTTCATGCCACATATCAGTGCCCATCTGAGCTGCCTTTCAGTGTCACCCATCAGTGCCAGTCAGTGTCACCTATCAATGCTGCCAATCAGTGCCGCCTATCAGTGCCAGTCAGTGCCACCTATCAGTGCCATATATGAGTGCTGCCTTTCAGTACCCATCAGTGATGCCTGTCAATGCCCATCAGTGCCACCTACCAGTGCCTCCATCAGTGCATCAGTGCCACCTCTCAGTGTCCATCAGTGCAGCCTATCAGTGCCCAGTGCAACCTCATTAGCGCACATCAGTGAAGGAGAAAAATCACTTATTTACAAAATTTTATAACAAAGACTAAGGAAAAAAAATTTTTTCCAATTTTTCAGTGTTTTTTGGTTTAAGAAAAAGTTAAAAAAAACTCAGAGGTGATTAAATACCACCAAAATAAAGCTCTGTCACAAAAAAAATTTAATATGGGTACAGTGTTGCATGACCGCGCAATTGTCATTCAAAGTGCAACAGCGCTGAAAGCTGGAAATTGGCCTGGGAAGGAAGGGGGTATAAGTGCCCTGTAGGCAAGTGGTTAAACCTAAAGGACCCTCTTTAGAGCATTGTTAACAGTAAATTTAATTTAGGTCTGAGTTTCAAAATAAAATTAAACTGATGTACTTATGTGCTGAAAGGTCTGTAAATGTGACATTGTAAGACATATCTGTCTTATTACAATCTGTATAACGAAACAGTCTGTTCCAGTGACAAAATGCCCTGAAACCACCAAAGATAGATAAATTATTAAAGCAGTTACCATGGTTTATTGGCTGTAATAATACTGAATCGGAGAAAAGTACAGCACAGAAACTTCAGTTAAGCGTCTTTGTCTCACAGACCAATTTGATGTTTAGTTTATAAATACATTGAAGACACGGTATAGGGCTCTAATAAGTGGTCATTGTTCACTGCTCTGACAGCCCTCTGTGTCAATATTTTACATGTAAGGTGTGTACTGCTGGTGCTGCACATTCTTTCTATGCCGTATACCATTATCTGAAGACCTAAAAGCACAACCAGGCATAGCTTACAGAAGCCGTATATGGGTGGACATGCCTAAGACAGTGATCTGCACCCAAGACCAGGAGAGAAGGACAGATGGAAAATAGGATTGTCACTGTGTACACAAAGGTGTGCTGTGTATCCAAGCAAAATAACTGACTGAAAACAGCGGATCAGAGGATCACATAAAACAAAGTTTGTGACAGCTGTCTGCAACTTCTGAGATGTGCAAGGACAAGCAAAGTTTACTGGGTGTCAATTGCACTTTTGTTGTTTATTGGGACTGACAATACAGGAAAACACTGCAGTTTAGAGGCTGAAGGAGCTCATGTAAGAAATATTTTTCATTTGCACATTCATATCTTAGGATATATACACACATAAAACTAGGTTGCTTTGGGGAGCACAGCCAAAAAATTTAGACTTTGCTAAAAATGCAGAAGTGCACACCCTTACCTTCTCTGATTTCTTCCTTCCGGTTGATTAAATATAGCCAAAAGTTAAAAGTTTTTGTTATATCCATTGAATAAATGCAAAAAAAAAAGTCCTGTGGGCCTTGAAAGCCTAACTTTATGTTTAATGTTTCTTTAACCACTTCAAGTCCGAACACTTTTACCCCCTTCCTGTCCAGGCCAATTTTCAGCTTTCTGTGCTATCACACTTTGAATGACAAATGCGCGGTCATGCAACACTGTACCCATATGAATTTTTTAGCATTTTTTTGAGACAGATAAAATTTTATTTTTGTGGTATTTATTCACCACTGGGATTTTTATAATTTTTTGCTATATAAATGAAAATGTCCAAACATTTTGAAAAAAAGTGTTTTTCTTATACAATTTTGCAAATAATCTTTCTTCATAAATCTTGGCCAAAATGTATTCAGTTATCTTTTTAGTAAAAAAAACCCATAATTTTTCAAATTTTTTTTACATTTTTATTTAAGTTTTTTATATTATTATTTATGTTTTTTTTAACATACTGTCACCCTAGCATAGTGAAACTGTACTACTAGTGGGAGTGATGAAGATTTTTTTTTCTTTTTTTAAACTGATTGCTTTTACACCATAAAAGCTGTAAAAACAATAATTTCTACTTCTCTCTGACTGCATTCTTGCAGCCATTGAGAAATACTGTGAGAGCTGTGATTGGTCACAGCTTGTCACATGGTACAAGGCTGTTGTGAATAGCCTTGTACCATGTGAACTCTGATCATTCACAGATTTCACAAGTAGTAAGCAATTATGTCAGGAAGTGACATCTTGTTTACTATTATTCATGTGATCACTGATTGGCCAACCAGTGATCACATGAATCGGGACCTCAGCAATCGGTGTTCCGCTGTGTCCGGAGGAAAAAGCAGGCACCGGATTGTGGTGCCGTGCGCTCCTAGGCTGTGAATGAGGGGGCCGTTTATAAAAGGCAGCCCGCTCCAGCACTGCTCCCGTCCGGCCGTTTATGTACATGGGCCTGATGGGAAGTGGTTAAATAGTTCATTTGGGCCAAGCTGGCCTAAACAAACTTTTTATTGCATTAATAGGTATGCTTACTGTACACACTGTATTTCCTGTATGTAGTCTCAGCTATATACAGCGCTGTGTTCCTGCAGCAGGACAAGAACTTCCCATCCAACTCCCGGAAAACAAAATAAGAGTCAGGCTGAGTGCTGCCATGAATGAATACAAGGCTTCTTCTGATTGACTGAGGTGGAGATTGTGACATCATCCACCTGCCTCCTTGTCTACCAGAGGAAGCATTGTATTCATTCACACAATATAAAGCTCAGCCCCACTCTATTCTGTTCTGGAAGTGAGACGGGAAGTTCTTGTCCCACTGCTGGAACACAGTGCTGTATACTGTATGCTGCTGACGTACACATAGTAATAAAGAACACCCAGAAAGCCCACCTGTTACTGCAGAGTAAACTGTTTGGGCAAGCTTGTCCCAAACTATTTAAAGGCACATTAAATATGGAGTTAGACTGTAACTTCCTGCAGTAAGCTGACAATGGTGCACTGAAATATAAAACATTGTTATTAGCTCTGCTTGAGTTCTATCTGTGGACTACAGAACACCTTCCCCAATGTTATGGAGATGATCTGTAATTTTAATACACTTCCTGTCATAGGGTTACAAAGGCTGCTCCCTCCACAGATACCGTACAATGAGTGAGCGATGTCACCCTTAGGCCAGGACACGTTATTGGCAGGATTGCTGTGTGAAAAAAACAAACAAAAAAAGGATAAAAAAGATAACTAATGCAGCCACTACTGTGACTATTGTGCGCACTAGAGACATGGACAATATTAGGTATATATTTGGATAAATAATTTTGGTGCGAGTCGGACAAGGCCTTACATGACTATATTGGCACCTAGGACGGGGAAAAGGGCTGTCTCTTCCCTCCTGGGTGACAAGGGGATGCTGTGTTTGGTATCCCTGGGTTTGAAATATAATTTGAATATTAATCTGGCAGTTGCTAGGATGCTACCTGTACCTATTGGAGGTTATTAACCTTAGTATGAAATTGCGAGGCGACTTGGTCATAACCTTGGCTACCGCCTAACACCCATCCCCAAACTGGATGGTTGGTCATTTGTTCTCAGGCGATAACCCTTTAATATGATAGAAAAAGACTGACAGGCTTGGAGAAGACAGCTCTCGTTTAACATCAATCAGGAAACATCTAACAGACTTGAGAGCCAAGGCAATCTTTTTGTTCAGACAACTGGACTCTGCTAAAACCAAGGATATTTCAAGTATTCTGCTTTCTGAACTCCTTTCTTTTATTTCTCTGTTGTTTTATTGTTCTCCTTACATCTTTGTACTATCTTTTTCTGTAAATATTTTAATTGCACAGCTTTGACCTTTTTAGTAATAAATCCTATTTTGAAAAGTGTTGAAACTGTCTCTAAAGCTTTTAATGCAAACTAAAGAATCCCTGTCTCTTGAAGAGTGCTACTGTATGTAATAATCCTCTGAATATAACTGTCTGTGGTGACAGTGTGTGTTACAGACGCTTATGCTAATAAAATAGTGTTATTGCTAGGATTTGTGAGTTTCCTCCTTCTCTGTAAAAAGGTGAAGGGTTAATTGCGTAATTAACCTCACCCAGTAACAATCACTCTCAGGCTGCTGGCACATAGATTGTAGTCCCATGAGCTGGAAAATCTTTGTGCAGGGCGCAGCTGAAAGTGGCATTGTTACGCAAGTTACAGACCGGTGTGAGATCGGCTAGTCCTTCGGTCACAAGTTGGTGAGAAGGGCAGGGTCGGACGCCGAGTTCCGTCATAACTACACCTAAGGATTAGCAAGCTACAATATATTACATCACAAGTGTAATAAAAGCGCCACACCCTTAATACTTTAAAGCAGCAATTCCACCTCAAAGAAACCAAATAAATTTCTTAGTGCTATAACTTAAATAAAGGAATGCGCTAAAACCACAAACTATTCCTAATTTAGTGTAGAAACATTGGTGCAAAAGATATATATATCTATTCTCAATTAATATCAAAAAATATCAAAATTATGTGCAAAACTATTTTTTAGTGCATAAGTAATTTAAATAATTAAATTTGTGAATATAAAAATTGTCCAATTCTGAATTTCTTCAAATGTCCAAACAAATCCTTTTCAAATTCAGGTGCTCTCAAAGAAGTTGTGCCAAAATCCACCACCAAAGTAAAGTTGGGTAACTCACCAGAGCTCCATGCTGATCAATCTCTAGATCAGCAAAAAACGCTTTTTGCTCTGGGAGCAGATGCAATAAATCAACTTCTCAGGTGTGATGATCAATAGCTACACAATCATCCATAAGGTAGGTATCCACCACTCAATGTAACGGTTCCAGGAGCATTATATCACTCTCTCTTTTTATATCTCTCCACCGAGGTCATGTTTGGGAATGAAAGAAAAAATCATGGTGCAGCCAGTTTTTTTTTATAAAAGTATCCAACAATTTAATAAAGATTTACACTCACAAAAAAGGTGTCTTCACCGACACTAGTATAACAGCATAAAACAGCAAATGGTATAACAGTCTCCTGTTCCTCGCACACTCACTACAGCGCTCGTGACTCAATCCTCTCCACAGACGTCAGCATCCAGCAAGCAAGCCAAGCCCTACTAGTTTCGTCATGAATGACGTCTTCAAGGGACCGCCCTCTCGGTGGAGAAGAGAGAGTATAAAAAGGGTATAAAAAGAGAGAGTGATATAATGCTCCTGGAACCGTTACATTGAGTGGTGGATACCTACCTTATGGAGGATTGTGTAGCTATTGATCATCACACCTGAGAAGTTGATTTATTGCATCTGCTCCCAGAGCAAAAAGTGTTTTTTGCTGATCTAGAGATTGATCAGCATGGAGCTCTGGTGAGTTACCCAACTTTACTTTGGTGGTGGATTTTGGCACAATTTCTTTGAGAGCACCTGAATTTGAAAAGGATTTGTTTGGACATTTGAAGAAATTCAGAATTGGACAATTTTTATATTCACAAATTTAATTATTTAAATTACTTATGTACTAAAAAATAGTTTTGCACATAATTTTGATATTTTTTTATATTAATTGAGAATAGATATATATATCTTTTGCACTAATGTTTCTACACTAAATTAGGAATAGTTTGTGGTTTTAGCGCATTCCTTTATTACAATATATTACACTTTTGTTCTTGGGTTTAGATATGCATTTATTATTTCCAAAAGGACCACGTAATGTTGTGACATGAGCATTACATTTTTATAGCTTTATCAGAAGATCCTACTTCCTAATTTGTCTGTATTAAGCTTTTATCTCCTATGGAAGAAGTAACATTATGGGTCACAGGCATCCTCTGCAGTATGTATGCAGGCCTGCAGCGCAGGTAATTTACACAGCTCCAGGGGCATTTTAGATGCAGCAGAGGGGGAAAATGTATCAGCTGAAATGTTTATGTCATGTGTGCAAGAACTACACTATATATATTTTTATGCAAATTCTCAAATGCTATATGAAAGAGAAATATGAAAGATGCGTACTCGCAACATCTGCAGCCAGCAACTTGAAAGCAATTCTGGTTAATACAGAGAGGGGAGTATGCTACAGTTGCTGCTACCAGGCCTTTTCCCAACTGTGAATATTACAAATGCGTTGTGTGGTTATGATTAAGCACGAGGTTGTGTGAAACGCGCTAACAGGTCCTGTATTCATGTCCTGGTGTTTTGTGTGTCCTATGGATCAATAAATACACACTATATTCAGCTATCCTCCGGTGTGCGACTGACCCTTCTTCCTATTAGAAATGCTTTAAGGGACCATTTGGAGATTCCTTCTTCCACAAGGAAGATCAAATGTGGTAGTGTCCTTTAATGCCACTCCAAACCAAACATTTTCATTTTGGCTGATGCTTATGTATATTTTATATACATATGTTACAAAATCATTCAGCAATCTGCAGACAAATTACTTACCTGTAAAAATAAGAGCACCCTCTAACTGTGTTGTGAGTGAAATGTTCTTGGCTTTTCTCATTCCCAAAGTCTTCCAGAGGATCTGACCACAAAATATCACACATGGGTCCATATGCAGGGGGTTCTTTAAAGCGATCTAACTGAGAAAAGTGAAAGAACACAGCAATTAGTTTTCAGAATGTAGGTAGAACGAATAGAACCAATGAAATGAAATTTAACACATACATACAGTTGTGTTCAAAATAATAGCAGTCAGACATCACTAACCTGATCAATCACTGTCTTTGGTAGAAATGATATTTCTACATGGCAAATAATTTACTAGCAGGTGTAGTAGAGTAATAGAAATCCAACAGACCCAACAGTCATGACATGCATGCTGCTGATTCTGTGTGATTGAATCACTAATTGAAAGGGGCATGTTCAAAATTATAGCAGTGTGGAGTTCTATTAGTGAGGTCATTCATTCTTTAAAAAAAAAGGTGGCAATTATTGCCCTTATTTAAGGAAGGAGAGGGGAAAACATATAAAGAAGTGCAGAAAATGATAGGCTGCTCAGCTAAAATGATCGCAAATGCTTTAAAATGGCAACCAAAACCTAAAAGACGTGGAAGAAAGCGAAAAACTACCATTCGAATGGATAGAAGAATAGCCAAAATGGCAAGGACTCAGCCAACAATCAGCTCCAGGAAGATCAAAGAAGGTCTAAAGTTACCTGTGAGTACTGTTACAATTAGAAGACGCCTATGTGAAGCCAAGCTATCTGCAAGAAGCCCCCGCAAAGTCCCATTGTTGAAAAAAAGACGTGGTGAAGAGGTTACAATTTGCCAAAGAGCACATTGACTGGCCTAAAGAGAAATGGCGCAACATTTTGTGGACTGATGAAAGTAAGATTGTTCTTTTTGGGTCTAGTGGCTGGAGACAGTTTGTCAGACGACCCCCAAACACTGAATTCAAGCCACAGTACAGCATGGTTGCGCAAGCATCATGATATGGGGATGTTTCTCATACTACGGTGTTGGGCCTATTTATCGCATACCAGGGATCATGGATCAGTTTGAATACATCAGAATACTTGAAGAGGTCATGCTGCCTTATGCTGAAGAGGAAATGCCCTTGAAATGGGTGTTCCAACAAGACAACGACCCCAAACACACCAGTAAACATGCAACATCTTGGTTCCAGACCAACAAGATTGACGCTATGGAGTGGCCAGCCCAATCCCCGGATCTTAATCCAATAGAAAACTTGTGGGGTGACATCAAAAAAATGCAGTTTCTGAGGCAAAACCAAGGAATAGAGAAGAATTTTGGAATGTAGTCCAATCATCCTGGGGCTGGAATACCTGTTCACAGGTGCCAGAGGTTGGTTGACTCCATGCAACACAGATGTACAGCAGTTCTCAGAAACAGTGCTTATACAACTAAATATTAATTAAGTGATTCAAAGGAAAGCAAAATCTTCAAACATTTTTCAGTTTATATGGTGAATGTTTGAGTTTGTAAAGAATACAAACACTGCTATTTTTTTGAACAGTCTAATATTCACTTTTCTTCAATTTTTTTTAGAGGAACAACACAAATTTGATATATTTTTCTTCATGTTTTGATTTGGAATAGAATGTGTAGTGTTCCCAATGCATTTGTGTGTATGGAAATAAAAGCTATTAGAAGGATTTTGAGCTTTATTCAATTTTTTCAACACACTGCTATTATTTTGAACACAACTATATATGTCATACAGATAGGGAATAATACAGAAAGATATGATCACTTAAAGTGTTTCTAAAGGCAGAAGGTTATTTTACCTTAATGCATTAACCACTTGCCTACCAGGCACTTTTACCCCCTTCCTGCCCAGGCCAATTTTAAGCTTTCAGCGCTGTTGCATTTTGAATGATAATTGTACGGTCATGCAACTCTGTACCCATATGACATTTTATAATTTTTTTCACAAAATAAAGCTTTCTTTTGGCGGTATTTAATCAGCAATTTTTTTATTTTTTGCACTATAAACAAAAAAAAAGAGCAAAACATTTTTTTTTTTTTTAAATTTTTCATTGTTTCTATGATAACATTTTGCAAACAGGTAAGTTTGCTCCTTCACTGATGTGCGTTGATGAGGCTGCACTGATAGGCAACACTGATGGGAATTGATGATGCTGCACTGATAGGCAGCACTGTTGAGTGGCACTGATGAGCACCACTCCTGAGCACTAATGGGGCTGCACTGATATAATCAGTGCCCTGATTATCAGTGCAGATTTCCCCTTAGACACTTGCAACTGTATTTACTTTGTGATCAGCTGTGTCATTAAACACAGCTGATCTCGAGGTAAAAGGCCGCTGTGATTAGCCTTTTACCTTGTCATGTTATCAGCTGCGTCCATAGGACACAGCAACCACAGACAGCGCTGGGAGCGTGCCGCTGGAGGCGCGTGATTGGTGTGTTTTGGGAGGACGTCATATGACACCCTCCTGGGACTGGACAAGCGTGCTGTAGCTGTAATTCGGCTATAGCGTGGTTGTAAAGTGGTTAAGGTAAAAAATCTTGTGGGTTGGGTGCAGCTCCCCTCTCAGCCCCCCCCCCCTATATTTACCTGAGCCCCATCTCCATCCACGATGTGTATGAGAGTCACGGCTCTCCTGGGTCTATTTCTCCTTATTGGCTCACAGAGCAGTGGGAGGCTCCCTCAATAAACATGGACTCTTTTTAATCCTTATGCTGCTAGCATTAGTAAATAGATGGGAAGTATATCATATTTACATGTTTTAACCTTTATTTTTTACATTTCTTCAGTTACTTTTTGGTTTCCATGCCTAGGCAAATGATGTCATACATCCCAGGAGTCTTCAGGAGGGGAGGAGGGTCTTTCTCAGTTAAGGTAGATGGATTGCATATTCCAGGAAGTAAATTCTTCTGCCCTTACCCAAAGTGTTACTAAACCCAGGATCCTGCATTCACTATGTCTGGTCTCCCACAGAACACAGAACATGGAAATGCAATTATTCTAGTAACTATAAACTGCTAAATACCTTTTCTCATCAGCAGTTAGAGCAGTCTTGTAACTCCTATCAGTGTCTGTCTGGTTAAAGCTGGTTAGCAGATGGATTGGGGACAGTAGAAAATAGGGAGGATCAGAGAAGACAGGATCAAACCCTTAGGTTCCACAGTGAGTATAACAAGCATGCTCTACTGCATATACATACTGATTTTACTGTTGTCGATTTAGTAACTCTTTAAGATGGCTGCGGTCAGAAATGCTAGAGGGGTATTTTTCAAAGAGATTTCTCAGCAAAATAAAACTACGGAGACATGGATGGATGGGAGAGTTTCAATAAAAAAAATTAATACAATAGTGCTTTTAGTTTGTGCTGCTCAGATGCAGCGTAGTTCCTCTTTAAGCTCCCGTTGGCTCACAGCAGAAAGCAAAATATTAACACAGTACCTACCCAACTTGAAAAAATATTGATCATAATAAAGAAAATATGTACAAAACAACAGTACATTTAATCGCTTTCCTGCCGCCCTATAGCAGAAATACTGTGCAAAATTAAGTATATATATGTGATTTTGCATTTCCGGGTAGGAGGCATGCGTGAGCAACACATGTGCCGTACCCGTGACCTCGGCTGTCAATCACCAAGTCCCGGCTGGTGATTACTCGCTGGCACCCAGTGATTGCCGAGTATTATCGATGGTGGGGAGAGAACTGTATGTAAACAATACAGTTCTCTCCTCTGTCAGCTCCTGCACACTGCGTTGTATGGCTCTGCACACGACAGTTAACCCTTTGATGTTAACCCCTTCCTGCCCAGTGCCATTAGTACAGTGTCAGTGCTTTTTATTAGCACTGATCACAGTATTAGTATCACTGTGGATGTCAGTCACACCAAGTCAGTTCCCCCCCAGTGTCAGAATGTCCGCCACAGTCCCGCAATAAGTCGCTGATCTCCGCCATTACTAGTAAAAAAAATTAAATTTCAGTATCTATACCGCCATTCATAGACGCTATAACTTTCACGCAAATCAATTAATTTACACGTATTGGGATTTTTTTTTTTTTATAGCAAAGACATGTAGCAGAATAAATTTTGGCCTAAATTTATGACAAAATTTGATTTTTAAATTTTTTTTACTGGACATTGTGACGGACGCGGCGTAATGCAGCGCCGTAATGCAAAAAATGGCCTGGTGAGGAAGGGGGGTAAATCCTTTTGAGGGCAAGTGGTTAAAGAGCAAATGCTGACAACCACCAAACTTGGGGACTGTGGCAACAGCTTTTTAACACCAGAACTGCTTCGCTTCCTATGCAAGCCAAAGGAACTGCAACAGCGGCTTGAACCGAAATGATGTCATTTGAAGGAGATCAGCTGCAGGTTAAAAAGAGGGTCAACTGTATCTCTGAATGGACTCTCAATGATCTAACAAGTGTCTTAAACTGATCTTAAACACATTGTAAATGTACTTTAAAGCCCACCTCTACTTAACACTAGGCTGAAGCCCCTCAACAAAGATTCTTAATGGTTTTGGCAAATATTGTTTACAGCCAACTAGTGACTCTATTTATATGAAGTATTAATTGTAAAGCAGGTAGATAAGAGAGACAGCAGCGCTACTCTAAGTGTAGACGGTTAAAATCAGGCAGATTTAATGGTAAAAATTGCATAAATAGGCATGTCAAGTAATGGAGGTCCAGTGTGAGCCCTCCATTACTTCCATTACTTGACATGCCTACCTGTTACCTACCTATGCGAGTATGGAGGCATGTCAAGTAATGGAGGTCCAGTGGGAGCCCTCCATTACTTGACATGCCTATCTGTTACCTACCTATGTGAATATGGAGGCATGTCAAGTAATGGAGATCCAGTGGGAGCCCTCCAATACCTCCATTATTTGACATGCCTACCTGTTACCTACCTATGTGAGTATGGAGGCATGTCAAGTAATGGCGGTCCAGTGGGAGTCCTCCATTACCTTCATTACTTGACATGCCTACCTGTTACTTACCTATGTGAGTGCAATTTTACCATTAAATCTGCTGCTGTCTCTCTTCTCTACCTGCATTACTAGTATCTACAAGCTCTTACAGCTGGCTGCCTCCTCAGATAAGTCCATACTACTATAAGCCCCCCACTAC